CACTCATATACATTTGATATCAATTAAATAATTATATTTTAAATAATTATATAAATAATTATATTTTTCTTTTGCTGGATCTTTTGCTGGATTTCGACGCCCGCATCGAGTTTATTTCCACGTGAATGTCGTTCTGGGGGGGTGGAAACGCGACTTTCGTCATGATTCGCGATGACCTGTGAAAAGATGCGGTCATGTATTGTCCATCGCCACGCGTACGCCACGAGGATTTAATCAGAATCACACGAATCACGATAATCAGGATCACGTGAACTGTCTCTCCGGCGCATAAGTTACACAGCATTTCTCATGGTGTCTATAACAGCTCGTTCTATTGCCCTGCCAAGTAAAAGTCCTGTTCAGAGAAAGCGAACTAAATTTCTGTATTATTTATAAACTTTTTGTTTACTTATAAAATTTAACGTTTTCTTCCGCATGCAGCAAATTCGCTGAAATTCTTTCATTATTCCAAGCAAAAGACGGTTTGTTTGCTCTTGCATGTTTCATAATCTATATGAAAAAAAAGGTAAATATCACGTATAGGCAATACCAACGACGAGTCACGTAGGTGTAATTTTATATTCTACAGACAAGTACAAATTAATCTGACAAATTCGACGATCATTAAACGTCCCATGATCTCTAATTAAATCCTTAATTATGAGATGTATTAATATAATATTTAAATAATAATATTTAAATTTAACATGTTATCCAAAGTGTTATTGCTACTTCATTATTATTGCTATTATTTTTCTCGAATTCGAAATTGAGAGGACATCGACAGAGTTTGAAAAACTATTACTTCGTCCTCGATTCTTCCGTCTTAAATTTCGGAGGGAGATAGGAAGAAAATATTGTTTTTCTTTTATCTATAAAAGATATAACGTGCAAAGATATATCGATTAAAAATGTAGAAGATATTTCATTTTTGATATCTAGATACTTAAATTCTCTTTTCAAATATATAATCAGTATAATTTCAAAATATATATAGATACCGTTGTATCGTTAAGTACGAACTAACGAACGGTATCAGGTCAAATGTACAAACTGTAGGAAGCGTTGCGTTTAGAAAGAATAACATCACGTCACCCGCGGAACTGTCGATTTTGAAATAGAGAAGTGAAGCCTTAGCAAACAATAGGAAACACCCAGAGACGTATACTCCAATAAGTTCCTGAGTAAGGGTACGAACGTGCGATTTTTCGTTGCAAAAAATAACGAAGTATTTAGGTAGACACGAAGAGGGTATTCGTGATATCTGGGCAATGTACTCGATTAGAGAAGAAGAACACTTCACACATCTCACTGTCGATTGTCCAGGGATCGCGAACTGACCTGCACGTCGACGATGACACTGTTGTCTATCGAGTTATCGGGACGGGTGGTGTCGCGGGGCCTGGTCCTGGTCCCGCCGGTGGTCTCTGTCTCTTCGTCCCGGGTCTGGTCCTCGTCCTCGTCGCTGCTGCCGTCCAACTCGATCGGCGGCAGCGCTGTAATCGCCCTGTATAATCGGCGCGAGTGAACGAGCGACGGCGGCGCGGTGTGCGGTGTAAACAAAGTAATGGCAGTGATATAAAAGGGGAGTTACCTGGGTCGCGCGGGGGTGCAAGGGGCAGCCGACAAACCGTTTCTCGGAATCCGGTCCCAATTTCGGGGTAAGCACCCGGTCGCGGGGCAACGACCAATCGCGACGCAAATACCGGGACGATTCACCCGGTTTTTATCATCGTGCTATCTGCTTCGCTCAGGAGGGCTCCTCGCATCGGCGCCTCGCTACCGGACGTATCGGTGTGTAATACATACATACGTATATGTGTGTATATGTATATGTACATATACGCACACGTATAGCCGAGACCTTCGTCGGAGAACGCCGGCAAAAAATTGTTTTCCTGGCCACGTGTCGGCGAACGGCGTGTATTACACGTCCGACGTGCCGAATTCATTTTCGAATCATTTCGCGCTTATGATGACGAAGAATCAGGAGCGGAATCGCGAAGGAAGTCTAGGGGTGCGTGTACCTGCGCCCCTTACGTAGGATTTTCCAGGGATAGTTGGAACGTGATGATGCATGCATACAAAGCACAAGATTGATAGCAAAGATTTTCCATCGATATGTAGACAATAATTTCAGTGATAAGAAAATAAGCTGTACTATAAAATATATACAGGTTCACATATATAAATTTGTTCATCAAAGGAAAATAGTTCATATATATATTCCTCTTTCTCTTTATAGAAATATCCTTTTTTCCTTCGTGTGATTAGTCCTGAACTTTAATACAGGACTTTATTCGCGACAATGCTATGCATATACGATTACAATATATAATTATAATTTTAAGGAAAGGGAGTAGTTAAACGGTTCTTTTGATAAATACTATAATTCACCTGGTATTACAAATCAGTCATTTAATTGATTAATCAGAAGATTTTTTTCTTTTCAATGATCAGTCAAATCAAATTCTCCCAAGCCTTCGAAACTAACATTGTAAGTATAGCGCATCCTATTGTTCACACATTAATATATTTCTATGTAAGATTTAAGATCAAATTAATTTCTCTTTTTTAGAAATATATTTCTTATAAATACAACTATACACACACATATGTAGTAGAATTTTGATCTTATATTTAATCTTAAAAATAAAATTTTTTTAATTTCAATAAAATTACACGAGAGGAGATGTCCTTCTCTCATTGAACCTGTATATACATATAGCATTAGAAATGTACGTCTACACTTACCTGTCTAGCGTAATCCATGCGCGCCGATCAGCGCCGGTGGAAGAGCCGCGTGTACCGATCACGCGCCAATTTGAAAGCCGACTGACGCACGCACGCGAGAACAGAAAGTCAACCGTACGCTGCACTCGCAACGTCAGTGGACCCTCCCTCGTTTTCCTGGCGAACGTCGCCGCTGACTCCTTCGCCCGATTGCATCTCGCTCTACGAGCGGGCACCGGTGGTTCCTTCTCGCGAATACGCGTTTCCTTTTCCGATACACTATGCCGGTTCCTTGACTTTCTTTCTCTTCCTCTTCCTCGATGGATATCTGTCTTTATTAGGAGACATCCGTTCAATGTATGACTCCTTTATCTTCCCACATAGTCGAGAAATAAGAGATTGTCTTTTCAATTTCTTTATCTAGTTGTGTATATATTACTCTCTTTTCAATTACATATTAGTAGTTCCTTTTGTGGATTTCTTCGCTTGACTACGCACTTGACATTTCTATGTCTGATTTTGCATCTTCTTTTTCATTAAACTGTCAGTTCCATCTCATCTCTTTTTCAGCATTTCCTTCATTTGATTCTAGTTTTTTTCTGTCTATGACTAAGTCTCATTTTTGTAACAAACAATCAAGAAAACAGGTTCACTTTATAAGTATTTATTAAACCACGTGTCATACAACGTGATAACATAGTCTAACATATGATAATATGTTGCAATCTTATATTATTACGCAAAGTGTAAAACAATTGTATTATAAAAGTTAAATTCATTGATTAAAAGCAGATAAATTTTTTCTCTTTTGTTTCAATAATTTTCAGCTCGTGGAATTAATAATATTGATAATAACAATCAATTTAGTTGATGAGGTTGCCAGAATTTTTCCTATTTAATTACAAATTGAATAATGACAAGAATGAAAGAGGATAATATATAAATTCAAGAATCATTTTCTTTACATGATAGTTTTTTCTCAAATCATAATCAGATTGTAAATAAATTTAATTCTAGATTAATCTCAAAGAGAATTCTACATATAATATTTTATCTGTGTTGCCTTTCTCTTTCGTTACACAATATGTACAATAAAAAATGAAACAAAAAATGAAATACATATTCGAAGAAAATTTAAACCGAACACTTGCTTTCTTTTTTTCTTATCTTTCATATTTATCTTGTTTATATCTATTTTTTTTATCTTTCATATCTGTCTTATTTATATCTATTTATATATGTATACATACAGGGTGTCCCAGTTATCTTCCGTCATCTTTCAAAGACAGATTCCTGCGATCATCTGAAGACGATTTTTCCTCAACGAAAGTGTCGAGGCACTAATAATTTTCGAATTATAAGTGATTGGAAATAAGGGGTTTTTCGTAAACTAAGCTTTGTAGAAATAAAATATTAACAAAACCACATTCTTTGATTAATTTTAAATAGAGTTTACTTTAGTTGAGTTTTAATTTAAGACTTTTGCAAAGATATATGATGACAAAAATCGGGAACATGCAAAAAATAATGGCCTTCATTGACATTTTCGTTGAGGAAAAATCGTCTTCAAATGATCCCAGGAATCTGTCTTTGAAAAATGACGGAAGATAACTGGGACACCCTGTATATATGTTAAGTTTTTTGTACACACAGATTTTTTATAAAATTTTAATTAATTTTTCTGTAAAGCAAAAAGAGATATCAGAAAGATAAATTTATTTCTCTTCTTTCTTTTTTAAAAGTGACATTAATTTAAATATTGAATGTTAATAATTATCAAAATATGTTATATTCTCACATAGCATGCATATCCAAAAGATGTCCAGAAGGTATCCAGAAGATATCTTTGGGCGATTAGACATCTTCAGGATGTCCTGTTAATGTCTTTAGGATGCTATATGGGTTACTCTTGGCATCATATTGATCAATCATATTGAAGATGTAAATCATAAATAGATTTTTGAGAGATCGTACAATATATAGCAATTATTTATTTTATACATACACAAGAATATATTGATTTTATTATATATCTATTTATTTATTTACTTGTTTATTTATTTATTTAAGTATAAAATATTAATATACTTTTATGTTCTTATAAATCATTCTATATTTTTATCTTAATTTGCATAATCCTAAATATTCTATATATGTATATAGATAATTTTATGCACATCTCATGACATGCAACGTGATAAATGCAGTGATCATCCTTACCGATATAACTAATCGATACGACGTAACCTCGATTGTTCCAACTGGCGTTCGGACGATTTTACTACAATCAGCTGATATATGTCGCTATCCGATAAGAGGTTAAATAGTGCATCACGAACATCGACAATTTCTCAAAGTTTTTATGAAAACTGAAATGGAATATTGAACAAAAAGAAACAAGGAGAAGAAAGCGTGCTATTATGTTTTAAAAAACAATAAAATATAAAAGGAATATATCAAAGATGAGGTTTTTCTCTGGTTAAGCAAAACTGCACTCTGTATATGTATGTATAAATAATAATGAAAGTCACAATAGTCTCTTCGTGAAAAAAACGAATTAGATTTTGCATGGCCATCTAGTCTTCAAGTTATTTTTTTTTGTACGAAAGTAATGTAATTCTGTGCAAGACGAATCAGAATCTACCGGATATTTTTACATTTATGATGTATCACAAATAAGAATGTAAACGATGCTGCAAGCTCGTTGGGAACGTTCTCAGAAACGCAAGAAACTCTTGGCCCAAACGGTGAGCATCAGAATTTGTTTTGGAAAGTAATGACACTTGGCTGCATTTTTAGGTTAGATACATACAATGCAGATAACATATCCTAAGATATTTGTTTTTTGCAGCTTGGAGTTTCCAGCGTGGACGAATTGCGACAAATTTTGGGAACAGATGTGGAGGATACACAAAAAAAGAGAGGCAGATTGTCCAATGACAAATCTGATAGTGCAATCAAAGATTTGAAAGATGACGCTGCTCCAACGGATGAGATTGTGTATAAAGATTCTTCGACATTCTTAAAGGTATTTATCTATATTAAATTATATGTTTTATTAAAATATGTTACATTTGAAATCCCATACATATTTAAAGGGAACACAATCGTCAAATCCACACAATGATTACTGTCAGCACTTTATTGACACTGGCCAGCGGCCACAAAACTTTATCAGGGATGTAGGTCTGGCGGATAGATTCGAGGAATATCCGAAGCTGCGTGAACTAATCAAATTGAAAGACGATTTAATCGCGGAAACCGCGACTCCACCAATGTATCTAAAAACAGACCTGCTGTCGTATAACTTGAAAGAGCTTAATTGTAAATTTGATGTCATTCTTATAGAGCCACCTCTGGAAGAATATCAGAGAACATGCGGCGCGACCAATGTGCAGCTTTGGAATTGGGACCAAGTTAGTCTTACACAATCACATTACATTTTTTAATCACACAGACTTTCCTTTTAGTATTAGTATTTAGTTCTTTGTGTAATATATATATATATATATATATATATATATATGTATATATATATATATATATATATATATATATATATATATAATTAAAAATATATTGAAAAATATATGCTTTCGACTTTTTGACATTTATAGCACATATAAAATTTTATTATATTATATTTTAGCACATATAAAATTGACATTTAAAAATAAATAATTTCATTAACAATAATGAACAGATTATACATGCTAAAAATTCAGTTTCAAATTATTTGTAATTTTAGTTTCTCATTTTGAATTCAACTACATTAAAAAATTAATTTTATAACTTAATTTATAACTTAATTTATTCTCATTTATTCAGATAATGGAGCTTGATATTGGTGAGGTGGCCGCCAACCGAAGCTTCGTGTTTCTGTGGTGTGGTAGTAGCGATGGTTTGGACATGGGACGATTTTGTCTGCGCAAATGGGGTTTTCGGCGTTGCGAGGATATTTGCTGGATTCGTACAAACATTAATAATCCGGGACACAGTAAAAATCTGGACAGTAAAGCGGTGCTGCAGAGGACAAAGGAACACTGCCTTATGGGTATTAAGGGTACAGTACGACGCTCCACTGACGGTGACTTTATCCACGCAAATGTCGACATCGATCTCATCATATCAGAGGAGCCCGATTATGGATCTATCGAGAAACCTGTAGAGATCTTTCATATCATCGAACATTTCTGTCTCGGCCGAAGAAGGTACACGAATATACGTATGATATCCGATGAAAAATTCCAGTTGCTTATGAAATAAATTAAGTCTCAAAAATCATCTCTCTAATATAAATCAAAAGTTCATTATTGATATTTAATCTTGCAAAAGAGATTGACTGAATCCTTCTCCCCTTTTTATATTTTTTGCTTTTCGTGAAAAATATCACGTGCATTGTTCTATTCAGGTTACACCTTTTCGGTCGCGATAGTACCATCAGACCCGGTTGGCTTACCGTCGGTCCAGAACTAACGAACACGAACTTCAATGCGGATCTTTATCAGAGTTACTTCGCCAATGGACAGATCACTACGGGTTGTACCGAAAGAATAGAGGCGCTCAGACCAAAATCGCCACCGCCGAAGGGAAAAGTATCCGGCCGAGGTAGAGGAGGCTTTAATCGTGGTAGAGGTAGAGGAAGATAAATTAATAATTTTAGAATTCTGCGTTAGATTTCTTTCGAACATTATTATAATAGATAGAAAAAAATATAAAGAATGATTACGAAGACATGTGTGACGAAGACATGTCTCTTGTAAAATATTCTCCAAATATCTTAGTCTAACAAATTTTTAGAATCAATCTCTATTCATGACAGAGAACTCAAAATAATTTTTTAATCATAGATATATTGTATATGATAACTTTTCATACTTAGAAAAATTATTCTCGTTGCATATTTATTTAAAATATTTGATTCATTTGACTTGGAAAGTTTGACTTAAGTTTCTCTTAATTTTCAATATTAAGTTGCTTTTTTAACATTTTAAATAAAATTACAAAATTTATCTTAAAATTCATCTTAAAACTTAAAATTCAAAAAGAAAAATTAAAATCATATTTCTCAAAGAATCAATAGTTAGAAAATAATCTAAATTGTAGAATATTAAATACTAGCAGAATTTTTCATCAGAAAAAGATACAAACTCTTAATATTGCACAAGGATCAGGATAAAAAAGAAATAAAGGTAAAATATGTTTTATATCAAACTTATTGTTATTGCAAGGTACATTGTAAAGAACGCAATTTGTCATTTGAACGCATTATTACATGTAACTTAACTATCTGCGGATAGTATATGATATTGCCTCTCTATCTTTAAATCGTTAACGATATAAATTGAACTGCCAGTTGTAATTTAAGAGGAGATTATTAAAATAAAACGCTAAAAGATCACATAAGATCTAAATTCGCCAAATTTTCAAGTAAACTGCATTTAACTGCGCGTTAAATCATAGAGAAATACAAACGAATGTACATATAAAAAATAAAACAGATATATATATGTGTGTGTATGTGTTTGTGTGTATGTGTAAGCAAAGAAATCGTAAAGAGTCTTACGAGTAGGATCGATTAGTTTGTTAAATAATAGCGATGTATCGTCCTCGAGAGAATAAAGAGAAATGCGCATACTCCGCGACAGTCATTAGAAATATATATCATTGAGTTACAAAAGTAGAAATATAGAAAAAGGAAAAAATCGAATGTTATTCTTGTTCATGTTAACGTTCGTAATTATATTGTAATATGATATTTCGAATTCCTTTTTTTCATATATATATGTATATATGAAAAAAAAAATATATATATATATATATATTCTAATTATTTCATTTGTTTAAAATTCTTCTATAATTTGAATAAGATAAATGCTTTCAATTAATCGGACACAATTATTGTTGCATGCATATGTTCGATAAAAAATCAACATGATTATAGGTAAATCAATTTACTAAAAATAAGATTTAGATTATTTTCACGTAAATAAATCTATCATTTATTAACATGATTTTTGAAATGTATTATTCAGTGATATTGTTCAAAAGATTAACGTCGCGCTCTTTCGGAGACACAAAAGTAATTAATTTTCTATTTCTGAGATCAAGTCACGTATTTTGTACTCTATAGGCTGAGTCGTTAATTTATAATATATACCATAAATATAGAGTTCTTAAGATTAAGATCGTCATCAGCAAAGAAAAAAAATACGCAGACTTATAAGGTAGTTTTATTGGTCCCAGTAAAGCTTCCGGTTAGAGTGAAATGAATCTATTTGAGAAGGCAAAGTTCTTCGTTCTATTCCTTTTAAATACATTTTTGTATAGACATATATATATAGCAACAGTTATATATGTATATATATGTGTGTGTGTATGTGTGTGTGTTTATGTATGCGCACACATACACACACACTTTCTACTTTATAAAAAGCAGATTGTAATGATGAGGTCACAAAAACGTATCTATAGATTTGTCGGGATAGGGTGTACTCTCGTTAACAACAAACTTAAACTTCTATTGCGAAAAATATATGCGAGATATCGGTTTATTCTATTACAGCAGAAGATTTTTTCCTCTTTTCAGTTAAATACTAAATGTAAAAATAAATCAAACGGCCTTTATTTATTTATTGCTACTATCTCTTATCAATCTAATGTAGAAATCGTCTATTAATTCGTAATAATCATCATAATTTCAACTTTATGATGGATCTTACGTATCTATCCTTTCGTAATGTATTTTTGAACACTATATTTCTATCTTTCTCGTTAGTAATCCTCCTAAATAATGGCATAATAATACAAAAAACAGAGATTGGGATAGAGTATTAAAAACCCTGATACAACATGGTCATAAAAAATACATAAACGATCCAATTAATAATAATAATGTGTAACAAAAATCTTTTTTCGCAGAAACAATTATATTTCGATATTAAACACCAATTGCATAAATTAACAATCAGTCATTGTATTTTCTTTTTTTTAATCATTTTAATGCGATTAAATTAAAAACAGATGATCATTATAGACAATTATTGTATAAATTAATTGTAGTATTTATTTTTATCAGACAGTTGTTATTGAGAGTGAACATTTTGCTTTATCTATAACAAAAGACGAAAATATTATACAAATTTGACGATGAGTTTTTTGTTTTGATAACAAAAAAATAGACAAACTTAAAATAATAATAATATCAGCGTGTGAATGCATAATGTGCAATAAATCAAATGTCTACGTCATCGAAATGAATCGTCCATCACATTGAAGAGACTCCAAAAAATGCGTACATATATTATACGAATAAAACACGTCGAAGGAAAAGCAAATAAATAAATTATTCACGCAAAACGCGAATATCGTTATTGTTCTCTCTTGGAGAATAAATAAATAAAAAAAAGATGAATAAGATAAACTCGATTTGTCTCATGCGAGTCTTTATGCGAGTTCTTTCGTTATACGGAGTCGATAACGCATTTTATTCTTTTCAACAAAATTAGTGAAAATCACTGTTTATCAGTGCAATATACTAATTTTATTTAAAAGATTAGATTCGGAATACTTTATGTTCGCTCGACAATAAGACGCGTTTGCCGCACGAGACTGAAAAAAAATTTGTCGAATATTTGTTTTTATAAAAAAATTTCTAATTAATACTAATATAGATAGCTTTTCCACAGAAGAAACCAAGCGCCTTTCCGTAAAAAAATATGATGTTAAAGTCCCTTTAAAACTCCTCACACAATATAAAATTTTTAGAAATGATTTCTATAACTTTAGATATATAAATATTACATATATTAGCACAAGTAATGCAAAATTAATGCAGAGAATAAATTTACCTTTTCAAAGAATTAATCAATTTATTGCAACGACCACTGGACTTAAAGTTTGACTTCGATTGTTTGACGTCGATTATTCGCATGAATAATACTTGAGATTTAAATAATATTAATTTATAAATATATATCTATCTTCCTATATACAAAAATTTAATCGCTACTTAATAGATCGTATTTTCTACAAATTTTTCCAAAGAATGGAATTAATTAAAATTGGCGCTTTATTTCTTTTATACAAAAGCCGTATACTGATCGCGCATAACGTGGCGATACACATGTGCGATGACAATATGTTAAATTAATTAATTCTAATGATAACGGAATTCTTTTTCGTGAAGCATCAGCGTATGTGTACCGAGAAGAATTTTGCTGGGGCGAGGAATATGCGGACAGGGTGTATATGCATGCGTGATGTGGCAGGCACGGGATGGCGATGGTGGTTGTTTCATCTATTCGCACACGACAATCGACTTGGTAATCAAGCGGTGCGAGGTGTCAGCGGTCAGAGGTTGATCGTCACTATGAAGAAGTGTTTAGCCCCGCGATCGGCCCCGCCATCAATCAAGTCTCAACAGTCACAAATATGTCGATTCCCCTGCAAGCAGACCTATCGTCAGTCGTGAAAAAAGACGCGAATGTTAAGGATAAATAACACAAATTTTTAGGCCAACTAACAGTTAGGAGGTTTGGGCAAAGGTTTGGAGTAACACTAATGCCATTTATGAAAAAGCGAGGACAAGCTTAGAAGAAAAAACAAGGACACGCACATTTATATGTCAAGGATGAAAAATCAAGCTTACATATTGTGTATCTGTTTAGATTCTTTTCAAATATCAACACAATTTCTCATACATTTAAATTACAATGTTATGCTCATTGAATATTAATAATACTCAAATGTGTTTTATATGTTTTATGTCCATAAAAATATAAAAACTTAGAATTATTCTTTTTTTGACAGGATTCTGACTACAAAAATATGAGAATATGCGTTGAATTTGAGAAAAATTACATACAACAAAATAAATAAATAAATAAATAAATTTCATTATATATACATTTTATTTTTTCACGAAACATTAAGTTTCTACGGAAGGTTCTTTACTTTTGAACTTACCCTGAATAATTAATGCCTTAAATGCAACCTGATTGCGAGAGAAAAATATAACAAAATCATACATATATGTATTCATATCGCTGAATCTTAAATATGAAAGTTCGAAAAATACTCTCTGAAACTGATTATACACAATTATTTTATTCGCAATAATAATAAGAGGTTTAATCATATGTCTTTATTACATTCATTGCAGTGTTCGATCCGACAACTAATAAATATTAGTGTCAAAGCTTGCGATAGCAACGGGGTTGTTAAGGCAGCGATATTACAGATATTATATCGAACATGTTTTGTCGGATAAAGAACAGGCTTATATAAACGCAGACAAATATCCGTAAATATGATAAAATATAGCTCTAAGTTGCTCGCTTTATTCTCTTTATAAATTCTGGAAATGATCAACGGTAAATTTGCAGCTTTTGTATTACAGTTATTATTTCATAATGTACAATGTACTTATAACGGAGAAAATAAATCGAAGGAGAGATGCGGCTCGTTCGGAAGAACACCAGGGATATTCTTACACAAACTGCATCATGTAACATTTATTTGTTAATGATTAATAAATAAATAAATATATATATGTATATATTATATATTTATTTATATATTTATATTATATGTATATATATACATATACATATATATATATATATATATGTATATATTTATATATATTTATATTTTTACAATTTTATGACAAAATCTTATTCTCGTCGACACCGACAGGTGCGATATAAAAAATCGGCGAATTAAATATATTTTATTAGATTGCCCCGCGCGCTCTAAATCGATCTCTAATCGATATCGTTTTGTTCTAAATGAGAAATGGCAGATAATTCGCGCGTAAGCGTCAATTAATACTCGTATGTA